TCGTCGGGAGGAAGAGGAGGAGGAAGGAAAAAGGATGATTGTGATGGTGATGACGATGCTGAGGAGGATGTGGAGAGGGGAAGGAGAGAGCTGTTTAGATGACCATGGGTGTTCTAGGGCGTTTTTGATAATTTTCTAGGGGGCTTCAGGGGTTGTAGGGCGGTCGTGGAGGACGAGGATGGGTGGGGGGGAACAGGGAAGGAGGGAGAGCAGGGACGGTGGGGGGGGGGGAGGAGGAGGGGCAGGGATGAGGGGAGGAGGGAAAGGGGGAGGAGGAATGGATGGCTGATCCTGCACATGGGCCCGTGGCCTCCTCAGCATGCTTGCAGTAGTTCTTCTGGCGCCTCCTGGAAGGAGGGCGTCTTGCCGCCCGACGCGGGGCTGCCCGGTTGCCGGGTTGCCCCGTTGCCTGATTGCCGGTTGCGCGGTTGCGCGGTTGCCCCGTTGCCCCGTTGCCGGGGTTGCCCCGGTTGCGCGGTTGCCCGGTTGCCCGGTTGCCCGGTTGTCCAGGTTGTCCAGGTTGTCGGGGTTGCCCCTGGGTTGCCCAGCTCCCCGATTATTTGGGTGCTTGGTTGTCTGGTTGCCAAGCATTGCAATGCGAAGCAGTGCGATGCAATGCAAAGCAAGCTAAAGCAAAGCAATGCAATTCCAAGCAGAGACATGCAAATACAGCCAAGCAAGGCAACACAGTACAGCAATGCAAAGCAATGCAAAGCAATGCCAGGCAATGCCAGGCAATGCCAAGCCAAGCTGAGCAACGCCAAGACATGCCCAGCAAAGCAATGAACATCAAGCAACGCCAAGCAATGTCAAGCAATAAAGCAGCAACGCCAAGCAACGCCAATCAACGCCAAGCAACGCCAATCAATGCCAAGCAATGCCGAGCAGTGCCAAGCAATGCCAAGCAACGCCAAGCAAAGCCAAACAATGCTAAGCAACGCCAAGTAATGCCAAGCAGACACTAGCAATACTGAGCACTGTCAAGCAATGCCAAGCAATGCCGAGCAGTACCAAGCAACGCCAAGTAACGCTAAGCAGTGCCAAACAAAGCAATGCAAGCAAGCACCGCCAAGCAATACCAAGCATCACCAAGCAAAGCTGAGCAATGTCAAGCAATGCCAGGCAATGCCAAGCATTGTCAAGCAATGCACAGTAACGCCAAGCAACACCCAGCAATGCCAAACAAAAGCGCCAACCAGGGCCAATCAATGCCAAGCAATGTCAAGCAATGCCGCTTAGGAAGGGTTCTCCTCATTGGTCTCGCGCCATGTTCATGAGGAAATCGTGCGTGAGGGTCGAGTGGGCGAGGACTGTTTCCGAGCGGACACTGGTCAGAAACGCCATGCACCTTTCCCAAGCAGTGCCTCGCACAAGGTTTTTTCATGCCAGTGGTCAGAAATCGACAGGCGTTTCCAGGCTTTGGCCTGACGTCGGCCTCGTTAGGGGAACGAACAATGACACAAACAGGAAACTCGTAAGTCCGCGCGGACCTCCGAGCTTTCATATTTCTGTCGCGCTTCGCTCCCCCCACTCGTGGCTGCCCCGTGCGCCGGCTGGCGTCCCGGGGCTCTCTGGCTGCTGCCCGCCTGGGGGCCCCTCGTCGGCGCCCCGCTGGCTGGCCGGCGTGCCCGTTTTCTTTTCTTTTTGTTTGTTGTTTGTTGTTTTCCCCCCCCGTTTTTTTTGTTGTTTTTTTTTTTTTGTTGGTGTGTTTTTTCCTGTTGTTTTTTGCTTTTTTGTTTTTCGGCCGGTGCCCGCCTGTGGGCGCCTCGTGGGAGCTCTTCGTGCGAGGGCTGGCGTTCCCGGGTCTCGCGGTCGGTGCCCCCCCGCGGGGCGCGTCGTGGGAGCTCCTCGTGCGCGGGCCGGCGTGGTCGGGTGCACGCAGGAGGAGGAGGAGGAGGAGGAGGAGGAGGAGGAGGAGGAGGAGGAGGAGGAGGAGGAGGAGGAGGTCGACGAGGAGGTCGACGAGGAGGAGGAGGAGGAGGAGGAGGAGGAGGAGGAGGAGGAGGAGCCCGAGAGGAGCGAGCCCGCGGGGAGCGCACCACACGTAGTCTCATTCCTACAGACGGACAGGCTCTGCCCCGCCTCGAAGCCGGAGCTGTCGCGTCCCCTGAGACACTGCAGGGTGCGTCTGATTCTGCTTCGTCTTCCATTTCCTATCTGAGATCACCCAGCCACTACCACCCTCCCTTCACCCCTCTCATATAACACCATGCGCGCACACTCGTTTGTCTTATGTCAGCCAGCGTGGACCCCAAACAGTGGTTTCTAGGGTGCCAGGTGGTGCAATCTATGTGGTGCAAGCTGCGCAGTGTGAGCTATGTGGTGCAAGCCAGGTTGCGCAATCGGCGTAATGCATTCCGCGTAATGGTCCGTAGTGGTGCAATCAACTTAATACGGGTGTCACGAGGAACTTTGGGTGCAGTATATGCGGTAGGAGCTCACGTACTCATCTATGTGGTGCGATGTACGTAGCCTAAGCAATGTGTTGCAACCGTTGTGGTAGGAGTTAGCGTAATCATCTAAGTAGTGTGAGATCTGCTGTTGAATATATGTGGGGCAGTCTATGTGGTAGGAGCTAACGTACGCATCTATGTGTATTGAGCTAAGTGATTTAAGATTTAAGCGATGTGGTGCAGCCTACGTCGTAGGAGCGAATGTATCCATTGATATAGTGTGAACTACGTGCTGCCCGCTCTTTGGTGCAATATAGGTGGTAGGAGCTGACGCGTAGCAGGGCAATGCTGAGAACGGCGTAGCATTGCGAAGCAAGGCGGAGCAAAGCAATGCCACGCAACGCAACGTGAAGCAATGCCTGGCAATGCAATCCTTTGCTTTGCAATGCAATTCAATGCAGAGCAACGCTAAACAATGTAACGCAAAGCAACGCAACGCGACGGCGACGGCGAAGCAGCGGCGACGGGCGGCGACGGGGCGGCGGCGGGGCGGCGACGGGCGGCACGGAACCGCAATATCTAGTTTTTTGTTTCGATGATCCACTGCAAAACATACCACGAAGTACGCACAAGGCTGTATATATCGAAATCAAACCAGCCACATGGTTCAAAGTGTTTCAACACAACAACCTTTAACGCCCATTGGCCTTGCAATAACCATCTTGCAGATTTTCTGCCCGCGCGCACTTGTTGAAATCATTGGGTGACCATACGTTTCAAGCAATCTCGTCCAGACTCAGCAACCTCATCTCACCACGCGGTGCATCCGCGTTGATCTAGCATGCCCCCAGTGCACGAATCCGTATCATATAATACCATGTGGGCCACGTGTGCGCGCTGCCTCGCACGCGTGTCGAAGGCCGGCAACACCATTGACTTTCGAACCATTTCAAGGCAGAGCTTATCAATATCATATCCAGACCAATCGTTTTCAACCATAAGTCTGCCGCATTTATTGAACCTCTGGGCGCACGCACTTACTCGTCATCCCCATCAGCGCCATTGTATCACCACCGCTATTGTCATCGTCAATCGCCACCACTACCGCCACCATCATCACAATCACATTCGTCACCAACACATGGACATCATCATCGTCATCGTCGACATCAGCATCTGCGCCATCATTGGCCTTGCCGTCGTACTCGTCATCGTCATCATTGCCACCACTGTGGCCATTCTCAGCATCGTTGCCGCCGTTGTCGACGTCCTCGTTCTATCGCGCCCGCTCGAGTCACGGACCCGCATTGAGGTGCCCGCCTGCCAGCGCGGCCTTTGAGACGCGCTGGGAAGCTTCCATCGGTAAGAGCCATCCCGGCTGCACCAGTTATGCCACGCCATCTGGACGCGCTGCTCTCGCGAGCGCGCGCACGGCAGCGCGGCCGCAAGGAAGCGCTAGAAAGTTCTGATTCGGAGCCGCGGTCGTGGCCGAATGGGTTTTTCCCACTGCGTTGCGGGTGGGTGGGCAGGATGTTTTGTACGAGCAGTGGAGTTGATGATCTCAAGACGGCCGAAGTTCAGTTCACACGCAGACTGCACAACGTAGCCAGCCAACCCGTCACGACGTCGTCACGACGTAAACTGCACTATGCAGATTGTATCACAAGTGCTGCGCGGCAAGCGTAGACTGCACCACTTAGATGGCTCGAGGTATCACGCCAAGCAGAGCTATCACCGCGTAGCTTGCACTGCATACAACGCGGTACGTAGATGGCCTCTGACATATATCATCACGCTGATGGAGCTGGCTGGCATTTCTAGCTCTTCGGCTAGTGCCCGCCCGTAGGCGCGTCGTGGATGCTTCGTGCCTTGGCTGGCGTTTCTGGATGCACAGAGTACATCTGTGCTGCACCTTTCTTTGTACCACGCAGACTGTTCCACGTACCATGCAACACGAAGTTTGTACCACGTAGTTTGCACTACGTAGAATGCGCGACATAGATTGCGCCACCCTGGTTGCACCGCATTGGTTGCGCAAGTGTATTCGATAGGTCACAATTCATATTTGTACACATATTGGATACCTCATTTGCTTGCACCACCACATTGTTTTCACCACTTAGCCTGTACATATACCTTGTACAACTTAGCTTGCACAGCATCTGTTGCTTCCCACTATCACTGTATTCTGCATACATACAGAACACCAATGCATATCAAACAGCCTGCTGTCTCGATGGTAAAACACATGCTGCACCAAGCACATGCTGTCCCATAGAAAGGGTGCACATCGAGAATGCAAGAACCCATTGTTCGGGGTCCACGCTGGCAATCGTTCGCTGTGTGGGAAAGTGGCCGGCGTCGAGGCGACGGCGAGGGCACCACTGAGCCTGGAATGTGGCTGGCGCTGTGGCGAGGTCGCCACCCCGAATCAGGAGCGTGGCTTGCGTTGAGGCGATCGGACCATCTGGGCCAGGAGTGCGGTCGGCGTGGTGTGGGGGCGCGTGTCCGAGCTGGGAGTCGGGACGTCACAATTTGTTCAGGGGACCGATGACCAGTCCCGCATCGGTTCTTCCAGTGACTGGGGAAACCCGCCCTCCCCCGCAGAACCTGTGTCCTCCCTGGAAGACTGCGCGGCCGCGTGCGACGGTGTGGACGACTGCTCCATCTTCGTTTACGACGTGGATGTGGGCCAGTGCTTTCTGAAGTCGCATTACACGAACAGGCGCTCAATCTTTCCCCATCCCCCCTCCCACTCCGCCTCCCCCTCTCCCCCACCCCATGGCGAGCGGCCGTTTCTCTCCCCCGGCGGAAGCCCTTGGCACGATCACCCCCGACCTCCTATCTCGTTCCAGTCTAGCACAATCCGATGCAATCCAGCCCAGTCGGACCAAGTGCAATTCCGATTCTATCCTGTCTGGTCCGGTATCAACCAATCTGACCCGACCGTCCTGTTTGCTCCTCCCCTGCCCTCGTCTGCAACGGGGGAGGATGGGGAGGAGGGGAGACGGAGATGGGGCAATTTGGGTTGGTGGATCGACTGAGGGCAGAGGAGTAGGGAGGGAAGGGAGTTGAAGGAGTAGGGAGGGGTGGGGGTGTGGGAAAAGGGGAGGGCGGGAAAGGGGGGACGGAGGGGAGGGGTGGGCTGGGGGGAGGGCTGGAACGAGGGGACGGAGGGGGAGGGGGACGGAGAGAGGTGGAGGAGCAAGACGGGGAGGGAGCCGTTGGAGGGACAGGTGCGGACGGAGGGAGCTGGGGCACGGGGTGGCAGGGGACCGGAGGGGAGGGGATGGCGGCCTGGTGTGCACTCCTCCCCTCTCCCGGGTCCATGCCCAACACCCCGCTCCGCCCAGCACGCTCGCCGTGGGCGACCGCGCGGCGGTGAGCTGCGCGAAGGAGGCGCTGCCCGTGCCTTTTCTGCCTCTGGGTGGGTGCGCCGCCTCGGCCGGCTGCGACCAAGGGCGGCTGGACCCGCAGCCGCACACGCGGGTCGTGGAAAGCGGGTAGTTTGCCAGGGCTCAAGTGGGGTGTTTCCCCGAAGGGCTTAGGCGACCCCTCCTCCTATTCCTCCTCCTCCTCCTCCTCCTCCTCGTTTTCCCTCTCCTTCTCCTCCTCCTCCTTCTCCTTCTCCTCCTCCTCCTCCTCCTCCTGCTCCTCCTCCTCCTCCTCCTCGTCCTCCTCCTCCTCGGGTCGCCTACGGCCCCGGGGGAAACCATGCAGGCTCAAGAGCCCGGGGGTCAATGCAAACGCGGCTCAGTCAGAGCGCTGGATCTTGCAAGGATCCTGCAGAGCCAGGGTTGCATTGGCCCGGGCTCGGGTGCAGGATCCTGCAGGATGCTGCAGGATCCTGGCTGACCCGGGTGTGGATGGACCCGAATCAGTAGATCCCCGATTTTGGGATTCCCAGACCCCAATCTATTTTGGCCGCCCTCCTACTTCAAGGATCGAGTGGTTTTCCCTCTTCCCTCCTCTTCGGGGGGCGGGCGGCAGCCCGGTCCACTGCCGCCGCCTTCCTGCTTCCTGATTCTGCCCACTCCTTCTGGCCGACGGGTCCAGAATCCTTGGAGGCTTGTCTTTCAGGAGGGGAAAAACACACAGGCACAATGAATCGTCGATTCCCAGGAAAATATGGAAAAATATGGGAAGTGGAGGGACGACAAAAACCCAGAACATATGGGAAAACATGGGGAATCCGGTTATTTGTGTGTGTGCATTTACTTGTGTGTCCTAGGGCCCCTTCAGTCTCGTAACTCTTCATTGCCCTGTTCCTCGAGGTCCCCTCTTCGGTGCTCCGGTGCGTGACGCCTTGCCGTGGGCTGCTGCGGCTCCAGTCTCCAGAGCCTCAGGAGGGGGATAGATATCCTTTTTCGCCTCCCCCGCTCCTTGCTGGTCCTCTTACCTCTTCCTGGGGGATCCAGAAAGGTACCTATACCGCTACTCCCCGGACCTCTCCCCGGGTGCGTTCTGACCAGGATTTCGAGGCGAATCCAGCGGTGGCAACGAGGGCCTCCCAAGAGGTTCATGAAGGGGAAAACGGACTGACGAGGGGGCAGGTCTAGATCCAGACCTAAACCCCTCCCCCCAAAAGGGGAAAAGACCCGGAGCGGAAGGGTTATGTCGGGCGTGTCCCCCTACAGGGAGATTTTCGACGAACAATAGAAAATACCCCGAAAATACCCCCCAAAAGGTCCAAACATATTTAGAAAATAGTCCCCAGACTACTTTTGGACTATTTTTTGATTATTCTGGGGGCTTTTTAAATTTTTTTCGTCGAAACTCCCCCTGTTGGGGGACAGGCCCGACTTCACGGAAGGGTTGATCGGGGCGGAGGAGGACTGGCGGGCGCCTCCGGGGAGGGCGGGGCGCCTCCGGGGCTCCGTCTCTCGGGCGACGGCGTCGACGCGGGCCCGGGAGGCGACGGCGACGACGGCGGCGACGACGGCGACGGCGACGGCGACGGCGGCGACGGCAGCGGCGACGGCGGCGACGAGCCGCCCGGGGCGCCCGGGGGGGCCCCGCGGTGCGCCAGGCCGTGGAGGGCGCCGGGGAGCCCAAGCGGAGCCGGCGGGCGGGCGAGGGCGCGGCGGCCGCCGAGGGCGCCGAGGGCAGCGCCACGCCGGCGGCCGCCGACGCGGCCGCGCGCTGCTGCGCCAGGGGGGACGGGTCGTGAGGGGAAGCGGGTCCTGAAGTTCGGGTTGTCAGTGTCGTTTCTCCGACCCCCATCCCCATCCCCATCCCTTTCGAGACCCCCACCAAATTACCCCCCCAGTTGGGGATACACCCCTCGAGACCCGGAGGGAACGGCCTATATCCCCATCTAGTGGGGTAAATCGGCCAGTGGGGCCCAGGCCACGCCGCTGGGGATGGGGATCGGATAAACGATACTCAGGTTGACCCAAAAGGGGGTCCAGCAACAAGGGGGTGGTGTAATAGGTTGATGCAACATATTTGTGGGGTTGCAATACACTTTGGGCGTGCAATACGTTCTGGGGCGCAGATGTGTTGCTGGACCTTCGCGTGCAACACATTACTTGCAATACAATGCAACACAATCCTCCGGCGCAGTACGTTTGCAACACACTCTCCCATAGCCTATTGTACCACGCCCTTTCAGCTGGACCCCCTCTTGGGTCACCCAGAGAGGTCCGGTCGCGGTCCTCGGGCTCTCGGGGCCCTCCGCGGGCCCCCGGGGAGTGTCAGAGGACGACTGGGGATGAGCCGCTCGTCCTGGGGGACTGCCCCGGGGCCCAGGGGGCCCGTTTCCCTCGGGACCCGCTTCCGACTTGCTAAGCTGCTGCTAGCTGCTGCTAAGCTGCTAAGCTGCTGCTAAGCTGCTAAGCTGCTGCTAAGCTGCTAAGCTGCTGCTGCTGCTGCTGCTGCTGCTGCTGCTGCTTCGCCTGCTCCGCTGGCTCCCGCCTCCGCTCGAAGAAGAGACGACGGCGCAAGCATGGACTCTTGACGGCCCGCGCGGACCTCCGAGAGAGCACGCTGATGTTTTTCCTTGGGTTTGTCATTATTCAGGATGGAAAAAACACACAGAGACAATTAATCGTCGATTCCCCAGAAAATATGGAAACTATGGGAAGTGGGGGGAAGACAAAAACACAGACAATATGGGACAATATGGGAAATGCTGCTATTTGTGTCTATGTATTTGTGTGTCCCAGGGCCCCTTCAATTATGCCTGCCTCTCCTGATGTGGGCACCCTTTGTCGTCCTCCCGCTCCTGTGGCTGCTGCCAGTCCCCCTCCCGTGCTTCTGCTGCCGCTTCCGCTCCCGCCAGTTCACGGGGGCCGGGGGGCTCATGAGACGGAGGGGGCGGAGGGTGGCAGTGAGGGGCGGGGGGGGACGAGAGAGGGATGTGGGGGCCTGGAGAGGGGAGAGGAGGAGGCGGGAACGGAGAGTCGGGGACTGGCAGGAGAGGGGGGGGGAGAAGACCACTAAAGACAACACTGTTCAGGAACATTTGGTTTATCAGTTTTCCCTGATTTTCTATCCAGGGGGGAGGGGGGGGGACCTGGACTTCGCCCGGCGTTGCAGCAGCTGTGTGCCGTCGTTGCGCCAAAGGAATGCGTGGATGGGGTGCCACGCACCTCTGACCACCCTGGACAGGGCGGGAGAGGCGAAGGAACATATCGTGATGGCCTCCGGCCAGTGCCGCCGATCCGGGGGGCTCTGGATTCGGTGATCTTTGCGGCTCTGTGGCCTCCTCCCTCCTCGATGCTTCCGGTCCTCTCTCTTCTCCTCCGGGGGGGTGCCCGGAGCGGCCCCGGGGGTGGGTCCGGGGAGGGCTCCGAGGGGGGAGCATCCTGGGGGCGGTATCTGACAGCAAGAGAGAGTGGAGGGGGCCCGAGGCGATGCATAGCGCAGTCGCCGGCGGATGTCTGCAGCAGGGAACGCCGAGGCGTGCGCTCGCCAGCGCAGAGAGGCCACAGTGGGAGTACCCTCTGGCAGAAGGCGGGTGATCGGAGGGCACCAACTATACACCAACACCGATCCTGGGCCCAGGGTGATCCTGGCCAGGATCGGTGTTGGTGTATAGTTGGTGCCTTCCTAGGTGACTGGTGTGGCAGACCCCGTCCCGTTGTGCAGCAAGGGTGCGTCACGCGGTGCCTGTCTGTAGAGGCGGCAAAGGGTGGGGCCCTCTGGCCTTGTGGAGCAGAGGGAGGGGAGGACGACGAGAGATAACGCTCAGTAGAGAAACGAGCAAGTGGAGGGCTGTTCCGACTTGCGCCTTCTTGAGAGTCGAGGCTTGCCGTCCCATTCTCCCAGTTAGGCAGGCGGGTGACTCTGGACAAAACGCTGCGCGGGCCAACTCGCGCAGAGGACCTGGCGCATGGGAGCCTGAGGAGGCGGGGCCATGCGGAGGCCAGGTCCTGGGGGACGCCGCAAGCTCCCAGAGACCTCTGAATGGAGGTGTGAGACTGCAAAAGACAATTCTCGATAAGGGGACGGAGGATAACTAGAGTAAGAGGAGAGAAGGGGAGAGGAGTCCAGCCGCAATGCGTCTAGAAACGTGCCACCTGCTGTCACGTGGTCGAATCCGCTCAGCATGGCAAGAGACAGGGCGCACGGACGCCAGGAGAGGCGCGACCGTGCAGAGGCCACGTCTGAAGGGGACAAGACGATCTTCCCAGAGACCTCCTTCGGAGTGCTGTGAGACCGCCACAGCATGCACAACTAAGAGAGAAGGAGGAGAATCGGCA